TCGTGTTGTGGAGTGAGGGAGAGGTTGCGCACGCCATAGGCCTCAGTTTCGCCGCGGTGTCGTCTCATCAACGTCATTCGTGCTACACCATGCTTTTTCGCGATTGCTTGATACGAGAATTTATCTTCTAGTTCTCGCGATTCGATTTCTGCAATCGCTTCTTGAATCGGGTCCATATTGGTTGAGTTTTGACGCGTTGAAGTTTTGTTGTTGTGGTGGTGGGGGTGCTCAACTGGCGATGGTGCTCATCTGGTGCACGGGCACTGTAGCATCCGCCATAAAGCTCTTAAGAAGCTCCCCTACCACCTTATTCTGTGTCTTATTCTCATTTTTTCGGTCCTCTTTTTTGGGCACCAGGTACTCCATGCAGGCTCCGTTGATGACATGGAGGCTCCTAGCTAGGGGCTCGATTTTAAAAATGCGGAATATTTCCCGCCACTCGGGCATGGCGGATCTAAGGAGGGAGTCTGCAAATGAGTCTTGCCACCCAGGTGTCAACTGAACCGCGCTGATGAGAGCGGCCTTGAGCGACTCTTCGTGACCGTTTACCCTCAAGGCAGCCTTTAGAAGAGCGATTTGGAGCGAGTTGTCGTCATTTACAATGAAGAACCCGCCAGGTAGCTTTGCCTCGAGTGCTTGCCGAAGGACTTTTGCAACTTCGTTCCACCAATTGGACTTATCTGGAATCAATCTCAAGAGACTGACCACGCGCAACCCTTCCCACTCAGGCGTTTTCTGCACCGCCTCGAAGAGAGCGGCCTCAAGGTCGAAGCAGCTCGGAGGGTCCATCTCCCAAATCAAGTAGCGCCTGAGGAGAGTTGGGTCTGTAAGGCCGTTCCTTCGCTCCTCCACGGGCAGACGGGCAGAAATTTCTATATACATGTCCTTAGTAACGCGATAGTTGTTGTTCGTGATCCTTTCGTACATAAACATAGAGTTAATGCTCCTGGCGCTACTGATGCTTTCTACCACTTCTAGTCTCTTCATCCTCTCGCTTGTCTCCAATTGCCTAATATATTTGTCATTCAGCGTCCTCCCGTCCAACGTCGGCAGATGACACCAATCTCGCAGCGCCTTGATGCATTGAGAGACCGTCTTTGGTCGCCCGTCCTGCAACAGGTACGGCGCGATGCGCTGGTCCTCAAGCAGGGCCCCGATCAAGCGCTTGTCGTCATTGTCGTCGTCTATGTCCCCGGAGGCCTGTAGTCGACGCTTCTCGCATAGGTACAGGAATGTCTGCAGCGGGAGGCTGTTGGTGCCAATGATGCGAACGTACCACTGAACCCAGTGCATCCGGGCAAAAGCGTGGATTGTGCCTAGGCTCATCGGCTCGGTGCAGGCCTCGGCCCAGGCCTTCATCCCTTTGGCCGTATTGCGGAACTCATTTATCTCCTTTTCCGTCAAGGCCTTTTGTTTGTAGAGCCGGGGAAGGAGTGCTAGGATCCCGCTGAGTTCAGCGCGAACCTCCGTGCGCGCGGCTTCCAGGTCGACACCTTTGCTCGTGACCAGGAGGCAAAAGTGTGTAGCGACAAGGGTAACAAGAGGAACCTGGGCCACGGATGTAGGGTGATCACCCATGCCGATGTGCCTAATGCCGTGGCAGAGCATGGTGAAGACGTAGGGCCGGTGGGCAGACCTTAGCACGTCGGGCGCGGCATTGACCGACGGCCGCCTGAGATATAATTGGCGTTCTATTAGTACGCTTGATCGAAGCATGGCGTGCAGGCTACTTACAGAAATGACATCGCGCAGTAGGGTAATCCGGGCAGGAGTGTGGCCAGCTCGCGCCACAAACTTCCTGCGTCGTTCGCCTTGTCCAGCGCGTCGACCCAATCCTGCGCGAGCTGCGGCTGGGACACTCCATCCTTATTGCTGGTGCTGGCAGTCCAAGGCCTGAGCAATTCTGATGACAACTCCTCTTCCTCATTCAGGAGTCTTGTCACGTGGATCAGGCTCTCGGCTTCGCGGAGGAGGATGTCGGTCACTATCATTTGTTAAGAACAACAGATCAGTGCGAGCCGTCCGTTATTAGAACTGGCTGAGCTACACTTACAGGTAGAGGCTGTCCAGATGGGTAACTTTCCCTGTGCCACCTCCCGCCAGAGCGCTGCGGCCTCACTAGCCAGCGCCATGAGGGAAGCTAGAAAAGCGAGGAACTCTGCTTGTTCGAGGGTCAGGCCCACTTTGATATCGTCCATAGTTCCTTCCTCTTCCTCTCCTGCTTTCAGGTGCTGCCCTATTACTTCAATCGTCGCCTCTGTTCTTTTTTTATACGCGCTCAGTTGGTACTGGATGCCCTGCAAAAATTTGACGTACGTCTTATGGCCATGTTGTATGTGCCAGGGCGCGTATTTGTAGCGCTTCCCCCACTCTTTGCGATACTTTATAGCATCTAAGAGTTGTTTGCAGACTGTATCTCAGAGGTTTTCTGCTAGGTCTCTGGCAAGAACCTGTGCAATCTGTGTTGCATCCTCGTAACAGACGCCTTTTAGTAGTCCCTTGGGATCTAGCGTTTTAAATATCTCCTTGTTGAGCACCTTATACTCGTAGTAGAGGGTTCCTCGCTGCTCAGTAGAGATTGAAGAAGACATTTTGATAATATTTGCTGGTATGTGCCTCGCAAGTTACGTAGATGCGAGCTGGTGTAATTGAAGGTAGAGAGATGATGAATAGAATAATGGGCAGCTGTGGCTTTTGTAGTATGTCAGGAATAGGTCCGTGCATATTGTAGGCAGTACCCCTGTGGCTCAGCACGCTTGTTAAGAGTGGGATCTTGAGTAGAAGTAATATAAGACTTCCGGTGTCAAGGCTCTTGAGGTTGGTTTTCGCGGATGAAGCAACAGGGTGATATGAACAATGTCACTGCAAGTAACTATTGTATTGTAGGTACTTGTACTCGTAACTTAAGTTGAACACATCGAGCCATAGGGGCTCAATGCCTGCTGCTATATACTAAGGGAATGTAGTGATCGTGTACGATCAGAAGGAGTGACGTTCCTCAATGGCTGAGGTCGTGATCGTGTACGATCGATAGTATGATCGTTGACGATCAGTCACGTGACATGCGGCGTGGTTAAGAAGGATCCTGATGGCTGCGGCGTGGCACCTCCTGTGCCGCATCCTCGAAACTGATTACTACCCTGCAGGTCGTAACTAAGCAGTTTCGCTTACTCAGGTATTGCGTTAGGGAATGCCCCCCCTTCCGGATCTCAACCTCTTTTGGGTTAGCGTATAGCGCTCAGGCCACCCAACCCCCTAACTCCATTTCTTTTGGTTCTACGTCACCGTCTCTATCGTTTTACGAATAGTCAGATATCATGACGCTTGGGTACATTGGAACACAACTGCCATGTGCAAACGCCTTTCAATCTTTTGCCATCAACTTTTCCAAACCACTAATCCTTTCGAAATGGCCTACGATTAGCTCAGGTTGTCGCTTTGTTATCAGTAGTGCTGGGCATGTGCCTAATGAGGCAGTGCCGAGCTAAGCTGCCGAGCTTCAGTCGTTTGCACTTCGCCGTCCTCTGAAGGCTTGCATCGCCAGCTCTACCCAAATAACCCAAGCACCACTATCCGCATCAGCAAGTACCAGCTTACCGCACCATTCTCGCGACATGCAGCGGCTCTGCAATTCCATGGCCAGCGTATCGCTCGTGCTGGCGGGGTCGCTGTAGTGGCTTGGCATGCCCGCGGGCGCAATCGTGTTGCTTGGTCAACCACACATCCTCAACTTCGGCGGCCTTTGCCAAAGACGTCGCAACCTCTTACACGCTCAACGACACGACGACGATGCCGTACGCTCGGCCCCCAGCCACGCCGCCCCTACTGCCCAAGTCACCGCGGCGCCCACAGATTCTCTTCCGCCACCCCGGCTACGACGATAGCATCAACGTCCTCTTCAAACTATATGCGATCGATACGGACACGGACGGCGGCCATGACAACGAGGAAGAGGTGTCGCAGCGACCCGGAACCCCAGGCCTCTATGCGCAGTTCGCCCTCGACGCCTGCGCCATAATCGCAGGCAATCGGTTCAACGGCTGGCTCTCGACTTCACGCAACCCCGACGACGCGCGCAACAACCGAGTCGATGCCAATAGCACATTGGTCGCGCGCAGCTATTATTACCACCTCGATCACGACGAACCCATCGATGGACCCGACGGCGAGCCGTATCGCATCGTCCCCAACTTCCGCGAATGGCACTTTCCACACAACCAAACCCCAGCGCACTGGGAGCAGCTTTCCGTGAACGCGACGTCTCTCGACTCGGCCCGTACACCCTCCAACCTCACAATGGCACTGCAGATGCGTGACGGAAGCTGCCGTATAAGCGGATACCGAGAAGAGCTGCAGGTCGCGCACATTGTGCCGCAGGCGGAAGTGGACTGGTGGAAGGCAAACAGCATGTCGAATTACAATCGGAGTTTGACCAGCGGCATGGACGATACGGCCAATGCCATGTTCTTGACAGCGAGCCTCCACATTGCCTTTGACAGGCCCCGATTCGTCTTTGTGCCGAAGCCTTCGAGTGACGACGGAAAGATGCGGTTGGTTCTCCATCTGCTTGAGCCTTCAGCAGAGTTTGAGCATCTCTACCACAACCGGGAGCTGCACCAGTCGGACGTCGGGGTTGAGATGCTGTTTGCGCGTTTCGCATGGACGCTGTTTCCTCTGCTGGACGCGTTCCTCTCGTGTAAGGAGAGTCGCCGGTTGGCTGTGCGTGCCGCTCTCAACGACCAGATTCTCTCGCGTGGATACTTTACTGCCGCGGCTTGTGAGCGGTTCTCCATGTCGTCGAGCAGGAAGCGGTCGGTGAGCCCGAAGAAACGGAAACCGGATGAGGATGCGGTCGACAGCAATTGTGTTGACGATGTTGACGCCCATAGGGATGTCAACACGAACACATCTCCTTCTGCGACAAACCTCCGCAAACGTTCGATCGGATGTGTGGATCACGAACCCCTCTCACCGTGTCAAACACCCCCAAGCAACAAACGACGGAAAGCGTCGCCTATCCCCGAGCAAGCATCATTCTCGTCCAACGTCTCGTCGGCGCCATCCACTGAATCCTCCACCCGCCATTCCGACCACGAAGCAGAAGAATCGTGTGCGATAGTATCCCACGGCTCGCCCTTGGCACAAAAGTGGTTGGAACAAGAACGTCAAAGATCTGATCCCGAACAGACTTGGACAGAGGAGATGCGCTGGGTACGTGAAGTATGGGCTGGCAAGGCCATGGCTAATCATGAAGTTCCGAGGTTTTGGTATTCGAGTGGGTATGAGGTGAGGCATGCGGAACGTGAGGATGAATTGGGAGTGGGAACTGAGGTGGCGGAGTAGGTGGAATATATATGTCGGGGAAAGGGCCTGTGAAGGCTTTCGTGGTGTGCTTCGTGCATTTTGTTATTACGCTTTGGGGATTTGGCAGGCAAAAAGGAGTTGCTTGGTTGGTTGCTTACACGATACCCACATATTATTCTTCTCAATATACTTTGTTCGCATTGCGCATGAATACGCTGGTTCTCGACTACCTAACAAGATTATGCGTAAAGCTTGACTGTTGTTTTCTTCTCGTTTTGTCGTCTTCCACGCACGTGTAACGTTTCTCAACGTATATAAGGGCATGACGCTCTAATCAGGACTTATTCGCTACTCTTGACTTCTGTCATGCGTTGCAGCAAATTGATAAGGGGCATCTGCGATGCCCCAACATCTTGAGAGGGCCTGGCATCTCGAGGTGTTGTGTCTTGGCGAGATGCCACTTCACGTGACCAACGCCCCGCGCTGATCATTACCTTCTGACGTGGACACTGGTTGGTCTCCAACCCCGAGTCCCATATCAAGGAGAGAATCCTTCTTGCTACTTGTAACAGTTTTATATACGTACTTAAGTATAAGCTAAGTGTGAAGGTTATCCTTAGATGACCTAAGAGTTGGTTCTCAGGGAATGAGTGAGTGCGATGGACGGGGTTGGTGTGATAGCACGATTGGTAGATCGATGTAATATCTGTAAGCAATTAATTGTGTAAGAACTATTGTGTATTGTGTAGTACATGATGCTAAGAGCAAGTTTAAATACAGTATTATTAGTCAGTAGGTAACCACGTGACTATATATGGTACTTCTAGGCTTACAATATCACGAGGGGTTCGAGAATGAAGTATAATCCTTAGATTAAATACTAGAGTCTTGTACGAAGTTGAACACAATGAACCATAAGGGTTCATTGCCTATGCTATATACTTTGGTGATAGCCGTTCTGAGTCCTATCGCTAGCCCTGGTAGTCGTGCGCGTTCCTATCGCTCACTGCAATCAATTTGACGAGGAGTCTTGCAGTCCCACCAGCCACCGCTAGTCCTCACTAGCCACTATCAGCCACGATTGCCCATACAACGCCGCAACCACCCCCAGTGGGAGACCTATCATGCTGCGCTTGAGGTTTCAAAAACTTTCAAGCCTAAACAGGAGCTCTCACAATCCGATATCGCGAAGATGCTTGGCGCTAATCGCAGCCCTCGCACACCACTGCATCAAGGTTTCACCATCTCACGTGCTTTACGCTTTGAAAACCACCCGCGAGTGTGTAAAATTGTCTTTAGGTCTCATGACGACCTAATTGGCATAGCCTTCGTTATTGGGTAAGCTTCGTGAACGGTTGGAACATTGTGTGGCTTTAGTATATTCTTAAGACCATCATTCATTTCATTCACACAATCTCAGCAAGAGATCTGTCCAGGCTGGCTCCTACTCTCTGTCGCAATCTCTATAGAGCTGACTTACCAAGCTAATAGTTCTGCGGCTACACATCGTGGGGTTAAATGCGTGTGCAGAATGTATGGCTTGGCTACCTAGGTAAGCTTTACTCCAAGGTTCCATGCGATGAATGAATGAAGGCGAAGTTGGACTGCACCACACGTCCGAACGTTAGAGGAAGCGGCTTCATTTATAAACCTAGAGATATTCCGAAACCCTACACATTATGCCAAACGGAATTATGGTCGAAAGGGAATTATGGTCGGATAGCGCGTTTTACCCCTGCCCACCTACCCACCAGTTCGCAGTAGCAAACACCGTCCGAACGATATTCAAAACAGGTCGTGCAGGTGCAACTTCTACCTTAGATGCAGGAGACTCGCGCACGTTCAATGCACTACGTTTTATCATCGTACGATATGTGTAGCGTGAGTTATCAGATAGAATAGGGGAGAAAGTTGGTGTTCGTGGATATGGCCTGTGCTAACTTAGGGTTGCGCTGACAGTTGCGCTTGGGGATATGCTTACCCTAACACCCGGTGGACAAAAAAAGCGATACTCTGCACGAGCCACTACCCACCAAAAATGATAACACGCCAGAAGGTAGCAACTTTATAGCGCTATAATACTATAATCTTTTTAATAATATCTCTATTTTTTACGTATATTATATTCGCAATATACTAAAGTTATATTCTAAAAGAAAGAGAAACTATGAAAGTTATCTACTTAGTGCTCGTGGCAATACGAAGTGCGACTAATGATTTGGAGTATCGCTTTTTTTGTCCACTAGGTGCCTAAGTACGGTTCACTCGCGGACACCGAACGGAACCTTCGTACTTGTAAATTTAGTCTTGGTGCGTGCACGGACCAGCACCCCGCACTTCTACTTACAAAGCGCTGGTTCACGCTTTTACTACCCACAACACGCCGCAACGCAATGTTACTTCTTGATCTTCCAACGGAGCTTTTACTCTCAGTTCTAGAATACGTCAATGTGTGGGAATGGAAGCAGGTTAGGCAGACCTGCAGAAGCCTAAGCAAGCTTGCAACGCCTCTTCTTTTCCAGGAGATTAACTTTAAGCTCTGCGAGCACGGCTGCGAGTCCTTGTATAACATCTCCCAGAACTATATGCTCAACCGTTTTGTCAAGACCATCGCGCTCCGCAGAATTCGTGGATACCGGAAGTTTGCGGACTTCAACGCCTGGGTGGAGTGCATACACCAGCCAGGCACTCCAGATCACATCCCATGGAAGACTTGTCATACAACTTACTACGAGAATGAAGAACTACGTAGTCAGCTCATGCCATACGAAGAGTGGGCTAGATTGTCCAAGGAAGAGAAAAGTGTGCTCTACGAAGCGTACAACGCAGACCGCGAGCTGCAAAACAAAGACGCTTGGTCTATCGCAAACGCAGAAGCAGGGAATGTTTCTGTTACTCAATTTGCCAAGGCCCTCCAAACACTGCCGAATTTAAGTGCCCTTGAGCATGAACCTAGATTTCTTGACACTGACGCATGGGCTCTTCAATGGCGAGATGTTTATTTCCACCCCGACTATATTATTGGGTTTACAGATAACGATGAAGACGAAGACATCGATGCCCTACAATTGTCAGTCGTGCTCGAAAGGCTCGCATACTTCAGAGGAAAAGGCCAGAGGCTACAGAAGATGAGCATGTATATTGGCGGCCCTGCCTTCGCAACACCAGCGCGCTTGAAACTTCTAAGGCTCAGCGGCAGTCATAAGATTACACGTCTCTGTCGATCCATTCATGCGACTTCGCCAGAAGCAGACGCAGACGCCCGTACTGGCCTTGTAGAATCTGACGAGATTAAGCTGCTCTATAGGCGGCTGCAAGCGATGGCGTGCGCGTTCTCTGATCTGACTTGTCTTGATTTCTGTGTGTCTGATAATGACGAAATGACAGGCTGCATGGAGAGCGCAGCGAAGCTCGTCCTTTACTTTCTCATTAGTGCTACCAAACTCCAACAACTGAGCCTAGCATTCGGAAGACTTGTTGATGGCTATCTTCGTCCAACGTATGGGAGCCAAGAGAGTGAACAGGCACGAGGCTCCATAATGCTACTTTCACATCTTAGTCTTCACTCGCGTTGGAATCAGATCTGCAACGTTGAACTAGAGATAGCGACCGATCGGAAGACATTGATGGGTTTTCTGCTTGCGCACAAGGATACGCTTCGCTGTCTCACACTTGTACGCACGTCTCTTGTACGACTGGGAGACTATCGGAATACGTGGGAGCCGACCCTTACAGAAATTGGGCAATGCCTTTGCCTAGAGTTCCTCAGTCTCTCGACCCTCTGTGACACTATACAAGACTGGGCGCCAGGTGTTTGTAGGCGCATACTGTTCGATGTGAAGGATAACGTATGGAAAAGCAAAGAAAACGAGTTTGAAGCGTATCACAGCGCAGTAGTCGCACGCGTACTCCGAGGGGAAGTGATTGATTCGCTCCAGCCGCACACTGCGGTGGCACGCGAAGTTAATATAGTTCCATAGTCATCCTCGCGTCTGAAGAAGGTACATCTTATTGCGTAAAGTGTAATTCAAGACGCTCTTTGTATAGTATGTTGTGGAGCCAGTAGTGTCCAGCTTGCGTGCTTTCAGCCATATAGCAAGTGCCTAAATATCGCAGGTAAAGGAGACATGCGCGCATTGGAGCGCAGTCGCAGGCCGCACGTAGGCAATAGTGTAAAACTCGTCGAGGTAGCAGAGGATTGTAGCACCATTGCGGGCGCTTGTGGGCACCCTATTAGCGGGCAACCATGTGCGATTCGTTAGTAGCGTTGGTGTTCGTAGGTGTGGCCTATGCTGACTTAGGGTTGCGCTGAGGACTTAACCCCAAGCTTGTCATGGCGCAGGCAAGACTACTCGGATCATTGTTGGCAGTAGCGTCACTTAGAGGCATATGGGAGTGCGTGGGACATCAAACGAGCCTTGATTTGAATAGACACCTATAGGCCTTGTACGAAAGGATATCAACAGTCTACAGAGCTAGCTACAGGGAGTGTCTCTATATATACCTATCCTAGTCGGGACCGAATTGGATCCGACCAGGAACGAATAGCTGATGAAGGGAGCGGCAGATACTTCCTCTGTTCGGCTCTAGGGTTGGTCCAATACTTGGCGAGGTTGGAACATCGTTACCGTGCTCCTCAATACGTCAATTTCGAGCCCCAGTACCATTCGGGTAACATAGCAACCTGTCTGAGGTCATTGCCCGCCAAACTTAGGCAAAATGTGTTTAGCTGAGAAGCTTCCACATTCTCTTTGCATTGCTTACAGGATTTCGCCAGTTCCTGTAATTTCTTAAGCAAAGGCCCTACTGACTGCTGAGTTGCTGGTGGATGTGGCGGTTGTATATACGAGCCCCCGCGAGAATTCTGACCTTGGTTCTGGCGCACTGCTTTGAACAGATCATTACTAAAATCTTGTTGAATCCTTTCTGCGACTTGGGAGCATCTAGAATGATTGTTGTATCCAAAGGCACCAGATCTAAACGCTGGTACTTTTAATGTGATACTGATTGCGAGTGTTTGTATACGGCTCCGAAGTTCCTCTAATCTGCCTACGTTTATTACTAGTTAGTGTATAACAAGTTAATTAACTACTTGTGTGTACTCACAGAATGTCTTCCAGGGCAGAACATCACAGATTTCATTATTAGCCAGATCTGTGAATGATCCATTGTACTTCCAGACTAAGGCTTTCGATGCATTTTTAAACGCTTCCTAATCTCTAACTAAATACGACACAGCGAGAATATTTGCTGGGTCTTTACCAAGCGTCAAATGATCGGATTTGAGCCAGCCATAGACCTGGGATGGTAGGGTGAGGACATCGTAACAATCGTATTTATCCGCGTGTCTGATTATACTAAGAACTTGGTCTGTTGTGGGGTTCCGCGGAATGTGACTAAAGTTGTGGTATATTGTTGCACAGATCGCCGTCATGGCATACGGATCATCATTTGGCAGAGGAATCTTCTTTCGAGATGAGGTATTTAAATCTTGACCTTCGCGAAAGTTTGGGCCAAGCAGAGCTGCAAAGACTGTTGAATGCCGTTTAAGGAAGAGAGAGTCCGCATGTATGCGAAATCGTTTCCCACCCACGACTAATATCACGTCGCCCTCAGGAGCGAGAACAAGAGAGTTGGCATTCATTTTAACACTCTCTTGGTCTGCTCATTCTGGTTGTACTCTGAACAGAGGCGATTGCTTGAGTGGGGCTGTAATGAGTGCGTCTCTCACGGTAGATCTGCAGCTGTTGACTGGGTTGACAGTATGGTACGGAGTAATTAGTGGGGTTTAAGTGAGAACTTTAGAGGACACAGCTTTATTTGTTGTAGTGTGTGGTGCCTGCACGGTAGCGCAAGGTAAAAATATTCAATGTTGGTGTCGGTGAAGAAAAAACTCGCTTAGACCCACTAGGCAGCAATCTCTGCCCTGATGCCTCTTCTCCGCGAGCCGATTCTATCCTTAATCCTACACAATATGCCAAACCGAACTATGGTCCCTTGTGAACAATGGTCGGATAGCGCGTTTTACCTCAGCCGATCTATTTATCACTTCGCCGTAGCAAATACCGTGAGGACAATGTTTAAAATAGATACAACCTCTACCTTAGATATAAGAAGCTCGTGCGCGTTTAATGTACTACCCTTTATTATCATGCGACCTATGTAACGTACGTTATTAGATAAAATAAGAGAGAGAGTTGGTGTTCGTGGGTATGGCCCGTGCTATGTAACTTAGGGTTGCGCTGCCGGTTGCGCTTAGGGCTACGTTTAGGGCTACGCTTAGGGCTTTACCCTAAGTCAACCCTAAGTTAGGGTTACGCCAGGCGTGAGCGGTTCTTAGCAAATTGCTATAACGTAAAAAGACACCAGTAGATAAGCACTAGACGATGATCTAGGGGCGCCAGTTAAGGGTACTTAGTAAATTTTCCAATGCACGCCCTTATATCTCTCTTATCTCAACTTATTTCTTAGGTTGAAATACTACTGTCTTGGTAAAGGTAGCCATAGAGAGAGTTTTAAAGGAGGGCAACTGTTGCCCTCGCTGAAAGCCCCTCCCCTTCATGTTACCCTCTCTTATCTCTCCCGTTCTCCTCTCAGCCTTATTGATAGGTCTGCCTTAGCATCTTTCTTAATCTAATCTCTTTGCTTTGTCTTACATGCACGTGCGCAGCTACACGCGTACGCGTAACGCGTTCGCTCTCCTATACTCTCTTCTTCTATACACTTTCCCCTTAACTTAGTATATACATATTATTTTACTATGGATTCTACCTATACTAATCTACTTAACTCTTTGATTGAATACTTACCTAAATATAAGCTTATTGTATGTCGATTGCATCGCACTTGCGTTCTACCCTGCCATCTTCAAACCCATCTACACGAACAGCACAACCTTAGTAGCGCGACCTGCCGAGCCCTTCTACAGGAGCTTCGAGCCCAGTTCGAAACGCGCCCACTACTATGGACTGATCACGATTGGCAGACCTCTCTGCGTATCCTAACAACTCCGATTCCTCGCATTCCTCAGCTTCCTCTCTGCACCGGCTTCCTCTGTCCCATGCAAGACCCTCGAACTGGTCTGCCGTGTCGTCGTATTTACCATGCTCTCAACACTATGTAAAGGTATTGCCGGAATGAGCATGGCTGGGTCAATCCTAGAAGCTAACGCAAACCTAGAAGAGTAGGAAGACCTATAGGTAGCGAGATGGTATATTTTGCAGAAGTAAGCTGCCAGGCGTTCTTTATACAGAAGATGTATCGAGTGTTGTTTTAAGTCTTAGATATACCTAGGGCTGAACTCGCGAACAGCGTATCTACGGTTGATAAGAATCCGGGTAGAGAAGACTGTTGGGATTAAATAGAGAAACAGCTTATAGCTATAGAGCAGGAAGAGGCTAGAGACGCTCCAGCCACAGGATTTGGTATGGAACCTTTAGGGACATATCCTCTGAGCCTTGAACCGTGGCTTGAGGTGACCCGATGGCACCAATATCTTCACGGCCACCGCCTGCAGGACGTCGCGCAGCTTGTCCGCCTCCCAACACATGCAGCTATCGAAAACAGTGATCGCCAATTGCTTGCGCTTATCGACGTCTTTGACAGGCTTGTTGATGAAGCTCGCACTGCCATCCTAGCTGATGAGGCAAGCGTGTTCGACCAGCATCGGGTAAACAGTTTTATTCGTGGTCGGCAGTACCACCGGCCACTTCTAGTCAAGCTACAGGAAGCGACGTACAAGCAATATAAGAAAGTGTGGATGCAGCTGCTTTGTTTTATTTCCCGCGTAGTGCTGCTGCGGCAGGCTTCGTTCCTTCACTATGTCGTCACCGATGCGCAGTTAACTGCGCTAGATCGGCTATTCGCTGCCCTCCGGAATACCCATAAAGAGGAGAATAATACAGAAAGAGAGTCCCAATTGCATCAGGATCTATGCCTGGAGTTGTGTATCTCGTTACTAGATCATTGTCCTAAAGGAAACGTGTACGACAGCCTCGTAGTTGGCTTTCTCGCTATCCTTGGCATTGATATTAAAAGAAGTGGCTTCCAGGACCCAGTTTCGTATACACCCGATCTTTCAGCATTCGTCAAGCTGGCCCAAATCCTAGTTTTACAAAAGGGGATACGTTCCGCTAACGCTGGACTGATTGACTTCCCAGCCGACCTAATCGATGAGATGCAAGACCGATTCATGGTATATGGAAGCCAATCTCCAATGAACTGGATACTCAAGATCCGCTCGTATGGCTGCAAAGTCCGGGATAATACGACTGCCTTGGGACACATTATATGGACGGACGACGGCGAACATCTGTCTTACAAGAACTTTGAGTTGTCTATGACTGCGCTCCGTTGGTTTATGCGTGATCAGGTTGAGCTGGCTCAGAAGCAACTCCACAATCTGTTACTGCTACCGCCCGACAGAGACGCAGAAAGCAGAGCAGATGCCGTTCCACCATTGCGCTTACGGGAGCTAAAAGATGACCCGACTATCAACACCCCAGATTGGAGTTTTCTTCTAGACAAGCGTAACGAGGATCAACTAGCCGGTCACGATCGCTGGCTCCTCCGCCGTATTAGGGACCATGGTTGGCTTAGAAAGCAGTTCTTAGATGGCCAGCAATCCACTACGTGGAAAAAGAAACGAGTGAAGAGTTATCTTGATGCAATACAAACCTTCCTACAACGGCTTCTACTCCTTATCCATATAACAAGCGGACAGCCTGCTAGAGGGACAGAACTTCTTATGTACACTTCAGTGGCGAAACTCGCAACACGGAATTCGGCGAAACATCTTTCTTGAGAATGGCCTAGTTACGTTTGTGACTTCCTACCACAAAGGCTATAGCATCACAGGATCCACCAAGATTATCCACCGCTATCTACCGCCTGAGGTTAGCGAGCTCCTTGTCTATTACCTTTGGCTTGTGGTGCCTTTTGTTAAGCAACTAGAACGCCTTGCGCCGGATTTCGTACCTACGAGCACGACGTCTTCCCTTCTTTGGTCTCGCTCGATAATCGACAAGTCTGGGCATCGGCAGGACGTGCCTTGGCCAAGCAAGTGCCTTAGCGACGTACTGGCTAAAGAGTTCTCGCGACATCTCTCCACACGTGCCAGCATTATTGTATGGCGGCATTCAGCTATCGCTATTACTCGGCGCCATCTTGGACGATTGGGATTCAAACGAGACTACGATGGCAAAGAAGAGATATTGACTGTCGCAGACCACCAGGCTGCGCACAGCTCTATGTTGGCAGGTCAGCTATACGCTCGGGGGATAGAGGAAGCACCAGGGCATATTGCGCCAATACGAGCAGAGTATCGCGCTATCAGCCGTGCATGGCATAGCTGCCTTGGGTTCGGAGTGTTTATTGGCAGCCGTCCAACAACATCAATGCCTAGTAATCGCTGCCAGCCACAGCTAGAAACGCGTTCTAGTACTGTACCCGATGGCATCGTTGTGGAGAAGTGCACTAGCACGAGAGAGATACTAAAGAGAAAGGAGAGAAATGATGAAGATGAGCTAGATCAATGGTTTCAGCATGGTGTTAGGTTTGGTAAAAGGGCTACACGGCGAAGCGTGATGGATAAGCAGAACAGTGCATAACTCCTTAGATAATAAAAGCTAGAATCTAGTTTTCTATTTTTTATATTTGCCCACACATTGCATAGCGATATGCAAGAGCCACAAGCAGAGCGTTGTGAAGTCACAGGTGCACATCCACTTGGACACCAAACATCGAGAGCTGGCTCCCCACACACGGCGCAGCATGGTACAAGCCACCAGTCAGGAGCCATGGCTGTGGAACTGGGCCGACAGTGCAGGCCAGGTCATGTTCCACGCCCAGATGCTGCGCCGCTGCCTCATCTGCCTGTTTATTAGGTTCGGACTTACGAAGGCCGAGACAGCAGAATTACCAGCGTGTATCCTCCCTTTACTAGAGATCCTCTATTGCCTTGATCATATCGTCGTTCTGATTCGCCTCCTCTGCATCGTCATCGGAGTCCGTGCAGTTGTCATCTAGATAGTGATGTTCGGAAGAGTTATCTGAATCTTCAAGATGGTCGATGTGTGCGTCAATGGATATACGCGCGGCTTTGATGGTTAGCTGTGTGCATACCTACAGAAGGGTGAAGACTGACCAGAAAGACTTTCTATAACCGTGGACATATCGAACGCTGATAGACGAGTAGAAGTAGATTGGGATTTCTTTTCTCTCCTAAACTTACGGAAATCTGGCGCGATGATATCATCAAACCAGTCCTTATTATCGGCGAGCTCTTCCCACTCGTAGTGACCAACAATTTCTTCAGCGGCAACTTCCCATAGACAAACGTAGTGGTCGACGTAGTATTCCATTCCCTTATTATAAGGGTCTGGGATATCATAATGCTCCATTTCAGCAGAGATATCGAGGATTGGTAAACTGTTTTTAAGTCGAGTGGCGGGGTCAATAACAGTGAGTGTCTGGTTTCCTCGTTTTGCGCTTCTCCATTTTGCGAGATTCTCAATTGCGCTGGCTGATTTTGTAAAGGATATGAATGGTGTTGGTTCCCAGATTCCATGATTGAGGTGAGTGGCAAGGAAGTCTTTACGATCTTGCTCTGTGATGAGAGGCAACCTAGGTGACCTTGATAGCATATGGCCATCCATATTGGGATTGCTCCCTGAGTTGGCATCCCAAATTCGAAGAAGTGGAAAGTCAAGCTTCTGAGTGTCACTGACTTGCCATGGATGGCGTTCCTCCTCGGATCGCATGAAAGGGTTGACGATGTTGGCTCCTAAAAGCTGTAGAATTTTTTCGCGCGTGAGGGTTACCAAATTATCATCACAAGCTCGCGAATTCATAGTGGTGGACCTGTACTAGGCTACGAAGTATTCTTTTGGTAAAGGTGTTGGTGTGTATTTGTTGAAGTGCGAGCACAAGTTGGCGATCAGACTGCGCACCCCGCACAGCCCTCCTTCCGGGGAGAGTCTTATTAATATCGGGCTCTTATGGCGATTGCATGCTGCAATCACTGGCACTACTGTTATTAGCGTTTGCAGCTTTACTTATGTGGACAGCGTTCCAAAAGCCCAGTCATCAGAAGATCGTGGATTAACCAATCAAATCAGTTATTCTGCAGCCGACTTTTTGCACTAAGTTACATACGAATTGTGGGGCTGCTCAAGTGTGCTGCGCAGCTACGTGTACGGTGAAGCCGCAATCGCTACTGACAGTAAAAACATGCCACTTGTTTGGTCGCCACTCCCCCTGGATAATCTACTGATGTTTTGAAAGAATAGCTGGGAGGGACATCAGCATTCAGATTGGAAACGTGTAGTGATGTGACTGGAGGGTTGGCGAGCCATAGTTACACGACAGAATCTCACATGCATATGTTGATGTATAGCTTGATCATCGCTAATAATATAGCACGCGTGTTGTTTAGCCAATGTGCAAGCCCGCAAAGCATCATATAAGTTAGTCGCTGCTCGGAAATGCAGTACTTATGTTGTGGATGATGTGATTATGTACTGCGACAGTCCAATCGTCAACAGTAATACAACTAAGCACCGTGCCGCAGTGGCTAGTGCGGATATCCAGACTTTGCATCACACGTCACGCCTCCAAACATGAATCTTTTGTGCACCGCTGTTTAGTATGAATGACCTGAACGTGCAGCTCTCTGTCGTCTCTAAGCTGAAATAGTTGGTGATCTTAACGGTTCATTAATAGATAGTGACGAAGGCTAGGAGTTGCGAACTTTACGTTTCGCAAGTCGTCCTAAATGGAACAGCGTGTTAGCTGCTATGACTCACCAGATTGCAGATGACAACCGCACACGGCCGCTCAATTCGCATCGCATCGGTTAGTGTACCCGCCCGGCTGCGAGCTGCGATATGGGTTCATCTTCTGCTTTGCGTCGACTTTGGTTGGCAAACCCTTCAAACTAACAAATCTTCTTGCGCAACTCGTGTGGCATATCTCGATTGCCATAACGTAAAAGGGATCTATAGGAGCAAAAGCTAATGCGTAAAGACCGTAGGATGTGGTTGCCTAGAGAGTCGAAGTCTTTAAAGTTCAGCGTTGATGATCAAGTTTGATATAAGCAACACCTTTAGGCACGACTTTACCTACAAAAGAATCATGCGATATTCGTATATCGGTTTGCTGCTATGTTGTGCTACTGTACAAGCAACATAGACTCATCTCATCTACTGTCGGATGCTAAAAGACATCATTGGACGTTCAGTATGAATCACATTATGTGTGCAAGTCTATTCCCGTAAGTTTTTCAGGAGCCATCATCCTACCGCTCTTGTTCCCGATCAATCTCCACCTCTGCCTTGCGATATATTTCCATAGTTGCAATAGCATCTTCTACACTCGACACAGGACCCTGCTTGATTGAGCGGCCCAAAACCCCCAGCGCTAGATTTTTGAGATTAGGGCCCTGGTGGGCACCGGGATTGGCGTATTTGCGGTACCCACTATACTTTTGTGTATCGCGGACAGATATGTCGAACTTGAGACGAGTGGCTGAACGAGCAACGCCTTGAAGCTGCAAGATGCGAGCAGCCAAATCCAAAGTGATGACCCTCAAATCCTTTTCAATATCGTGGCCGATCACAACCCTGTCACGAAGAAGCTCGCTTAGTTGAGCCCGGACTTCGGAAAAAGGCCTGGCGCCATTCTGCGGATCGATGTCGGCCCAGCGAATCCCAGAAAACCGTTCATCAGTGTTTGTGATGTTGACCGGCTCGGGGTAGCATATGAAGCTGTCAAATATGGTTTTGCCGTCATAGTTGACGACAGAAACGCGTCCAAGGACTTGGCCGATATTGGACTGCATCATTTCGCAGACGATAGCGATTTTTTTGGTGAGAAGTTCCAGATGCGGCCCTATTTCTTTTGGGGTTTCAGGCCCTGGTATTATGTCGATCTCGTCCATTGCCGAGTGTTGAAATTACAATTAGACGGATGCTTAGATATGATACTTTAAGGCGTGATAAGAGTTTATTGAATTTGTGTTGAGTAGTTCTAGTCTCTTATTCGGAGATGGGGTGGCACGCTACAGTTTTCAAGTTTGATGTTTGAGAGAAACGATAAGTCTAGACTGTTGACGGTCCATTGAGGCTAGCGGAGCTGATTGCCAAGTGTTGGCCTTTTTGCATCTAAAAATATATGATGGTGGGCACGTGTATAAACCTCTTAGATCAGATGATCAAGGATCTGAGCAGTCAAGATAGCGTTACACTCTCATGCACTTGCAGCTTCCGCTTTGCGCACGCGGCTTACTTGTTATCCCACGCAGGACACGGACCCACCTGGTGTAAGCTTGTCCAAAGATAGTTAAAGCATATAAATGTGATGCGTTGATTGGTCTGAGAGTTTGAAAGAAGACGCATCGCTGACAGAAACTAATACTATTTGGGTAAGATAACCACTAAGCGACAGAGGCTTAGCGTGGGATCAGAGGTCGCCTGCTTACAGAAACTGGAAGCTGCAACTGCATGAGAGTGTAGCTTATCTCGATCCCCGCAAACCGGTGAAACGCGTTTGTCCAATCGTGGTGAAGATCCGGAATGATGACATTTCCTGCTGCAAGCCACCTGCTAAGGCGTAGAATAAGCAGCCGGACTGCTCCAAGAGTGTGCCAACGCACAGCCTGATCAAATGTCATACAAAATATACGTACATGTCATGACCGCTAGCACATCAAGCAGTCACTATCATGTCAATGGTCACACATGAGATCGATCCGTTTGCAGATACAATTGTTATCCTTAAGAATCCTTGCAAGAACTTCGCCCCGTGGGACGAGACGCTCGTATCCTCTCAAATTGAGGTTCCTGAGCCGGAAGAGAAACAGCTCATAAATGCTCAGACGTTCGAGGATGATCGGGCGGACGGGAAGCTGTCAAAGAAGGAGAAGAAAGCCGGGATGCGCGCTAGAGCCTCCCGCAATAGCACTGTCCTGAACGTCCCAGAGGGCAACGGCGAGCACGCCGAGCTTTCCAGTGAAGTCTTGTCTGAAGAGCAAGGACTTGTTCAAGATCGGAAATTAGCAATAAGAGTTGTTGGTGGGGTAGAGAACCCAAGCATTGAACTAGCCGAACCCGCCTCAGGGCCGACCCAGTCGGAAGATGATGAGATTCACTATCTCGTCTCATCTCGCCACTTAATGCTAGCTTCACCATGGTTTAGGCGCACATTAACAAAAGAAGAGTTTGTTGAATCTTCGAAAAATGCATCAGACGGACGGTATCACATCCAAGCCAACGATTGGGACGAAGAAGCTCTCCTCATTCTTCTCAACATTTTCCATGTCCGAACACGCCAAGTTCCGGCTGCTGTAAGCTTGGAGATGCTCGCAAAGATCGCAGTTCTTGTCGATTACTACGAGCTCGAAAACGCAGAGGTGATGGAGCGTGATGTCAGGGACTGGACTGCCAATGTGAGGCGTAGTGTCGCGATCCCATCTTCTTACTGCCGAGACCTGATGCTGTGGATCTGCATCTCTCGGGTATTCCATATGAGCGAAGAATTCGAGAAAGCGACAGCTGTGGCGATAAAAGGAAGTGAAGGGTGGATTCAAACCTTAGATCTGCCGATCCACCAGGAAATTACATGTATGCTCTCGACTTGCGTCGATGCGAGTTCTAATTACTAACTCTAATTAGCTAGTATCGACTGCAGTCGATGCAATGCGCTTGAGCACGTTGTCTCTGAATTGCACCGCTTACTTGGGGTCTATCGAGACTTCAACTATTGCTGCCCCCATAATCCATCTTACTCTTTTCAATGTGGAGCTTTTCTCTTTGGCGCGTTGATGAAATATATGGAAAGATGGGGTTGTCTCTGGCCCCGGCCAGAGAATCCTTTTATGGGAATCAGCCTCAATAAAATATGCAATAGGAGTGGAATGACAAAGAATACGAAATGGTGGGTCAAAAGCGACTGTTACGACTACTACAGAAGACATGACCACGAGAAGTTTGAGGTTCACTCGTGCAGTCTAAATGTCAAAATTGATGAAGTAGTCCAGGATACAATGGCTAAAGTGAGAGGATTGAAATTGCAGGACTTCAGGGATAACAGCCAAGTTTCGTTTCAAAACTGATCCAAATGTTCAGCTTTAGACATTATATAACTTCAGACCGTTTTCATACATATGATTTGTTGTTCTTATTGTATCTAACCACTAGAGAGGCTGGATAACAACATGGATATAAAACGTGTTAATCTCACTCAGGTATTCGGTTCTGGAGTGGGCCCCCAAATTCCAAAACTAAACTCTATTAGGTTTAGCATTAGGGCTCTGCAGAATCATAGGAGTGCTCGATAAGAGCCAGAATCATGCTATTTAGAAATTCTACTGCTACATGACCCTGGATGCTTACACTCTTGATTACGCTTACAGCCAGTAAGCAGAACGAAGGATGTGACTCGAAACGCCCTGCCGCAATCCTTCTAACCACGCCACAATTACGTTACGTGCTTAGCGATCACTATCTCTCGGCGCTGCTGAGGAGCTGAGCAGACTGCAGCACGGCCCACCAGTAAGCAATTTGAAGGATGCAGCCTGAGATGCCGCACCTAGTATATGATGCTACGTGACTCGGCCCCCGATACATCTTGAATAGGTAATCACGGACCCCAATTCAAAAACACGCATATGCAACGCGGATCAGACCCGGATTCTCGCCCATTATAGCCTAGCGCGAATCGCCCCCTTGATTTCCGCGTTTTAGTTCTAGCGTAAGCCCCCTAAACCATTAGAATCCTCGTAGTGAAATACACTCGTTTGCAGAATCGGCTTCCGGTATCTACACTCCGCGTCCTTTCTCACAGCAGGGGGGGGGGGTCAGCCTCGCTTAGCGGGAGCTATACCTTATACGTTTTAGATCAACTTAAGCCGCCTGTGTCGCATCAGATAGCTGCCTCACATCGATGTTTCACGTGACCGAGAGTCTCCCTCCGCCACGGTCAAGGTTCTATTGCATCGTTCATCGCCATTGCAGCTCTTGTTTGCTCAATCTCATCTCTGGCCCTTTTGATATTATTATATTATTACTGTGCCCTTCAGTTTGCGATGTCATTCATCTCCTCGTTCATATTGCTGTATCCCAGCCTTATTCTCCAGATGTCATGATCGATGGAGTGCTATGAGTTGTCTGCTGCCATTAAAGCCAGCCCGTGAGATTGCACTCATGCATCATTTGCTCTCTCCCAGATAGAGTTCGCCAGCCATAGCGCGAGTTGTATTGCAGGCGAATTTTCCGAATCTATCCTGGATGCTGTCTTTTTTAGCGATGCGCTTGACGCTGCGGGAAGAGGTGGAGAAGGCATGTGTCGCGCCGTGAATGGGGGTCGAGAAAGGATTAGATCGGATCCGGCTTAGCGCGGTGCCACCCATTGGACTCGGTGAGTATATCTTCAACTTCCAATCACATCGCTAACAATTTATATCAACTTTCTTTATCGATCTGGCGACGTCAAAGACACTACTATGGTGTAGCAGGCAATATTGGCGAAACTTCGTCTAGCTAGTTTCCCTGAAGTGGCATTGCGTTTTCTAGCATATCCACGTAAATAGCACTCCATCATGGCACCATTCGAGAACGCCTTATCCTTTTTCTTTTTCCCTCAGCCTTGCGTCTACCTGCGACGAAAGTGGACTACTTTGGCGAGACGAAGGACGGTATTGGCTGAAAATTCCGCCCGGGGCCGAATACAGCGTCAGCTCATGGGGGCTCAGCCCTCGGAGCCTGTGCATCTACTGTGCACCAGGTGAGGGGAGGCTGCTGCCGCCAGGTCCCCCATGTATCGGCTGCAGCCACAGCCCCAGCTGAACAACAAGCCCCAAGGCTGTGGGTGACACACTGTGATATGTTCGCCACGAGAAGTATATATCACCCGGAGTCCAGCGGTAATAACAACCCTCCATAGTCTTCTTTCGCCAGCCGTTAGTACGCAACTGCCAACGGCGATTACCCGGTCCAGTTTGGCTACCATCGTCGCTTTGTGCTGTTCGGATAATTTTCGAATACTTCTCGTTCGCTCAGGTTGAGCTGTAGCCTATCGAATCCAAAAGACAGATGGCGGCCATGTCTTTGGTTTCTCCGCCCGCGCTCAATGTGCATCTCGAACCCGTCACCTCAGAAACTCCTGCAAGCGCTATCACCCGCGTAGGCGCTTCTAGGACGGGGTCTTCACCATCAGCGGCCAACAGAAACCCCGCTCTCTCGATACTGGATGCCTCCACCGCGGTGCTCAAACGTCCGGCACTAGGGGAGGACGTCCAACTCGGCATGCTTTATGACTACCGTACCTCACAATTCTATGCTGGAGTATCGCTCTGGGATAATAGCGTTGTCAATGCAGAGCAAATTCTCCCAGAACAAATGGTGCAGAATGGCGATTTCACCTATTCCTTTTCGCTGGACGAAGCACGAAGTGATGCCGCCCTCGACGCTGAGGGTGGGCTGGATTTGGACCTCGGCATGACGAAAGCAACCGGAGCAGCCAAATACTTGAATGATGGAAAATCTAGCACACACGAAGCCCGTATCAATGCCTCTTGCACCATCGTCCGTAGGACTCGTCGTATCCCGCAAGAGATCCTGGCATCGATGCAACATGAGGGAAGGTTAAACGACCCTCGGTATACACACTACGTGGGAGAGGTGGTTGAAGGAGGAAGCGCTACACTCAGCTTCGTACAGACTTGTTCGTCTGACGAGAATGCGAAAGAGGTGCTTGGTAGGCTAGAAGCAAAGATCATCCCACTTTCGGCGGCTGGGAATATCAATACCAGCTTCAACGAAAAGAAGAATTCCATGCTGGAGGGAGTCAGGATATCTTACAGTGGAGCAATAGCCGAGAGTGTTGCATCTATGGAAGACGCGCGTCGAATCGCCCAGGAAATGCCAACGAAGTTGAAACAACAGCTCAACACCCTGGAATATAAACTCTTCCCGCTACAAGTTCTTGACAGCGCTCTACGTCGAGAGATTCGCGGTCTCGATGCAGGTCTTGTGAGCAGAACATCGGCGGCACTGAAGGCCAGCGCCCAGCGGCTCTTACAACTACAAGACCTTCGAGAACAAGACACGTATCGAGCTGCATTCCCTATAATCGGGGAGCAAATTATGAACATCCACACAGTCTTCTCTAATGCGGACACCCTGTTCAAACAAACGGCTCGGCGAATTTTGCCACTACTGCGGAACCAGTCTTTAGATTATACGGCTCATAGTTCCGAACTCCAAGCCGCTGTCGCTCTACTCGAACAGCGGACGAAGTTCACCGGGCAGTTCATAGCAAAGAAATACAAGGAGCTGCGCATACTTCAAGAGCACATTGCATCTCTAGTAGCAGATGGCTTCGAGAACCATCTGAGTGGAATGGCAGTACAATCGCTAGCGGCTGGTCCGTCACCCAGGCTCCTCTTGTCATTCGGTGGCACCTCAATCAATCGCGCCCAGCACTCACTACAAAAGATCATAGAGTCACCAGATATCCGTAACACCGACGATGATGAATCTGGGTCTGACAGTGACACCGAAGACAATGAGTGGTTTGCAAACCCTCAAACAGTCACCAATCTGGAAAGCAATTGCCTCATGCTGCGTGTTCAGCGCTCTCGCTCTCCTGCGCCACCAGCAGTCACCTTCGGGATCGCGAGTATTGACAAAGCGTTTCGCCCTGGTAACGACAGACGCAGCAGGACAACCGTAGGCGACATCATTCTTGACTACAAAGGCAAATTACACATTGTCACAGGCCTTCTTCCGGGGGCTCCCAAGGTTGTGGATCTCAGGATTGAGGACCAGATTGTCCATGTGACATGGGAAAGGATTCGAAGTCATGAGGAAGATCTTGTCCTTCCCACAACTGGCTTTGTTGTTCGGTACCGGCCTCGTCCCAACCTTGCCAAGGACGGAGCATTCCCGCACGCAAAGGGCATTGAGGAATTTGTCGAGCGATTCATTGCCTTCTCATCCTGCAGTCTTGCTATCGGTGGTCCATCCGAAGCCAAGCTGTACGATGACTGTGACTACGAAGTCGGGGTTTGCGTCGAGACCGAAATCGGACGGTCAGCGTGGAGTGATTCAATCATTGGTCGAACGATTAAGCTGCCTTCCGTTGCTTCGCGAATGATCGATTTCTATAACCAACACCAAAGAAATCTCAAGCGATCTCAGGTTGGGGTAAGACCTTGGCAGTTGGATTCGTCGGGAGCAAAGGGCTCTCTTTACTTGGGTCTCAAGACCCAAGCCGAGCGCGCATGCACCGATGCTCGCTTCAAAAACGAACTTGCCGTACGAATTGTTGACGTTGCTCCGGAATTCGAACCTGAGACTGAGCCCGCGTCGATCCCCGATCAAGACAACACTATTGTGGTCATATTTGCTGGTTGTACTGGCCATGGCAAAAGTACTGAGATCAACGCTTTCATCTCATACTTGCTCGGTGGTGCAGTTGACGATCATGCTCGCATCATGGTCATCGATGATAGGGGAGCTAACCAGGCGGGCGCTGTAACGCAATTTGTTACTTGCTACCGCCTCCGGCCCCTTTCGTCTCTCTTCCAAGGCAAAACGCTCCTCATCGTTGACACCCCTGGATACGGCGACACAAGAGGAGTTGAGCGCGACACATTCGTCACGGCTGCGATGTCCATGTTCTTTAAGACCATCACGCATGTCCACGCTATAATTTTTACCTGTCGAGCAAATGAAACCCGTACCACGTTGCTCAGCCCCGTTTCAACGTATATTTTTTCGCTCTTTTCCAAGGACGTGCAGGGCTGCCTGCAAACAATTTATACTTATAGCGACGCTGGAGTACCGCAAGCACGCACGGCACTTACCGAGCTCAAGTGGCCAGTGAAAAACGGCGAGGTCGAAGTGAACAACGCTGCGTTCACAGTTGACCTAGACACACAGAATCCTGAAAAGGTGCGCGATTGGTGGCTCATGTCAGTAAAGGGACAGGACGAAATCATGCGAATGCTCCTGGGCAAACGGCCGGTGTCGACTACTGGAAGCGCTGATGTGACTAAGAATCGCCTGGATCTCGAATAGAAATGCGAATTAGCCGAGCAAAAGATACTCCAGACTGCAAATCGCGCTCAAATGCTCGTGGCTAGATTGGATGCACTTGCTGACGCGGTTGGAGCCGCCCCCGGCGAAAAGGTGGAGATAAAAGTACCACGGGTGGTGCAGCACCAACTTCCCCCGAAACAGGCAACGACCTTCTGCGTCGACTGTATATTTACCTGCCACAAGTTTTGTAGAATTCCTGAAGACGGGGACAAAGCGGGCTGCCTTGCAATGGAGGCCGGCAAGTGCACCAAGTGCGATGGGCGTTGCGCTTGGCAGCAGCACAAGAATGTGCATTTTTACGTTGAGTTCGAATATGACCTGAAATTGGTGGTACCTGAAGAGATGATCAAATGCTGGAATACTAACAATAACACGCTCGAAGGCGCCCTGTTGGATTCTATAGCCGATTACCTCAAGTCCCAAGAGGAGCTGCGCGAGGATATCCTGTACTTGGCCCATCTTACGGAGAAGCTGAAAGAATCAGCGCTGCTCCATGACCCGTCTGCCATCATCAAATACATTGAAGGGCTTGTGAAAACGGCACGGCAATATGGCGCGATGGCCGAACATCTCCTGCAACTTACGACGGCACAAAACACGCTGTTACTGGTACTCAAAGTGAAGGAGATGGGATGCGAGGCGGTGTCAGATTCTGAGGCCCTACTCCAGATACTTAGGGCAGTCCGGGAGGAGATGAGTCGACGGATGGCGCTGGCCCCTCAAGAGCGTGCTGAAGAGGAAGAAAGGCCATGCAGTCTATACAACGACCTTCGCAGCAAGCTCCCGCCTAGAATTCGGAAGAATGTTCTTCCAAAACTTGAGTCTGGGAGTAAACTCGAACGCGTTAGGAAGCTGAATATGTACGCCGAAGGCGCAAGATATCCGCAAAATCTGAAGGCTATTATCAAGCCGATCAAGGCTGTGCTGGAAGACGGGGGTATAGTGAGTGCCATTGCGACAGCTCGCTCTCATTGATGTTGAGTTTCCAACATTTTCCTGATCCATACCGGCATAACGTGCAAACTTTGCTTCGAGGGGATACACGGGAAGGAAGGGGAGGAAGGGGAGGGCAGGTGCGTAGGCTGAAGGGCATGTTAAGCTTGAATTTGATCTGTATCCTAGGAAGCTCCTGTTCGTAGTCATTGTTCAATTCTGTTTGGCGTGATTCAGCAAAGAGAGTGTAAGTTATGAGATTAGCCGCACTGAATTTCTATTTCTGAGTGGTATGTACTCAATTGAAAGCCAAAACCCTTACTCTGAGAATTGAGATGCCTCGGAGCATTTCTGTTATGTGTGTCAAGGCGTCACAGACGGGATGCGCTAACCTCTAGTCAGACTAGCGTCATTAGTGCGGCCGCGTGACGAGCGGTAGTTGGCGCCGCACTGTTTGGCAATCTCGCTGCTTGTTGCACAGACGAATCTACACTCTTGTCAACGTCGCTTAGGCCCGCACAGCAATATATATACGTCGATGCATTCGTCGACCGTTATGTGCAGCCGACCTAGCATGATCGCTATAAGCCTGTGCTTCTCGTTAGGGATGCATTCGGCAGGGCAATCACTGTACACCCGCCAGTGCTGGTGCCTCTGATAATATCAAAGCAGTCGCAAGGCTTCGGTGGTGAGTCCGGATCGATGGTGTCCATCAACTGCTTCATGATCTGAAGCGTCGACAGGCCGCAGACGCCGCCGCAATCGAGGGTGAGCAGGCGGAAGTCGTTTTCGGGCATGGCAAGGAGGTCAAGTGTGAGGGCGAGTGCGACGGCTCAGCGAAGCAACTAGCTTTTAATAAGGAATATGCCGCAGTGATTTCATGACTCTGCAGGGCTAAGGAGCCGCTCGAATAAGTGTGATGGTCCATCTTCAGCTCGATAGGGCTGACGATGTAGGAGGTGCATCCGCGATTGCCAAGCCCTCTGTGTCGCTAGAGCGATCTGAAAAAAGGTTCAGCCGGGCGGAATAAAACTCATTATCATCAACACACGGCAGCGGGAAAGGTGGCGATGCCCCTAAAGCTCTCTACAGTTTGCCACCACGAGCAGGGAGGACGGCCGAACCGTACCGACACAGGCCTTGTGGGCTTTTTGGCGATAGAGGAGTATCATATTGCAGATACTACCAGGAGCTGGGCGGCTTAAGTTGATCTAAAACGTATAAGGTATAGCTCCCGCTAAGCGAGGCTGACCCCCCCCCCTGCTGTGAGAAAGGACGCGGAGTGTAGATACCGGAAGCCGATTCTGCAAACGAGTGTACAACTATCATACTTCGATACACCTATGTAGTTTTGGTATTGACATTCGTATTCCTTGCTCGAAATATGCTGCAAAGAGTAATTGTAGAAGTAGGGACTTTTAGATTACCCTAGACTGTAGAATCATATGATAACTACTGACGTTTCTGGTTCTGTCCAGATAAGACTAGGCCTATTAGGCTTCGTAAGTTCTATCTCAAAAATGCCTAGTCGTTTGAAACAGTTTGAGAAGTCTGGTCGTAACACAAGACCAGTCTGATTAGATTGCCTCAACTTTGAAAGGATCTCGATGTCCAGCTCTGTAGTTCGCTCAAGCACCAGCCCTTGTCGAGTGTAGCTGGTGTCACTTTCCACGGCATAAATGCAGAAAAGCGAAATCTGACCATGCTCAGGAGACTCTCCAGTGTCCCAGCTTACCATGACCGAACCGCAATCAGGTATGTCACCCCATGGTATGCAGAGTCTCTTTATTCTGTCATCAGTGCAACGTCGATTACCGAGTCGAATAGTGCTACCGTAGACTTCCTCGAGCGACGTCAGTCTGATCTGGCCTCGAATAGCAAGGGCTGCCAACTCCAAGCGCCCATATTCATCATCGCCTTTCTTATTACGCAAGTCAATGTGAAGAATATCCGCAACACATTCCACCTCCCTCAGCGACTTGTATCTAAAGTGCCAATGGAGGGAGAGTTCGGTCTGTCTAGCTTGCACTGATGCCCATGACCACGAAGGTGCAATGTAACCTGGTCCACGGCGTCGCGGAGGCTGATGTAGTGAGGCTTTCTTCCACAAGAGAGCTGCTGGCAGCTGTTCTTGGAACATACCGGCGATATACCGCTGGTGGAGGTATGTTTCATTGACCAGACGTGCTATCGCAGACATGGCGGGAAACGTGTCTTCGTCCTTCGTAATTCCTAGATGTTGGAAATCCTCTGCGAGGTGGGTCCAGCAGTGCTCGTAGTCACTATCCGCTTCAGAAGCTATGAATGCGTGGCGAGGGCTTTGCATGTTTCTGTGCCATTTTGGCATACCGTCGAAGCCAAGGTGGGGCGCGAGAAGACCACCTCCGATGTTTGGGTATGTGTCTGATGCAGTAAGCTCACTGCACTCCCAGAAGACAGTGGTACGATCGAAATGCACTACACGTGGGGAGAGGATGCGTTCTTGAAAAACCCAGGCTCGGTTATGCAGGTTGGATTCATAGAGATGCTTAAAAGCCGTACACTCAATGGAGACCAGAGGTGAGGTGTTGTAGCGTACAAGGTATTTTTCCGTCAACTATGGTCGTGAGATTATATGCATGGGTGGGCCTGTATCTGGAAACGGGCAGAAAAAATACCTCCGTCCGAGCTGCGGGAATGTGCAGCAGCAACATTCAACGTGCAATTTGCATAGATCTTCCCTATCTCAGAGACATGCCGTTGCTAATCTTCTAGGTGAAGAGATCCCTTTTGGATGATACATAAAGAGTCTATCCAAAGGTAGCGTACACCAATATCACGCGTGACCTGAATGGCATCTCGAAAAGTCTTTGGTAGGTTTACGATTGGTATGAGGCGGAGATAGGATTGTAGATTGGATGTCGTAAGGACTGCTTCGATCGGTTTTGTTCCCCAGCAATGGCTGAGCGTCAAATATCGGACACTATTTTCTTGTATCTCTTCTCTTCCGACAAGGCGGAGACCGTCGCGGCAATCTAGGAGGCGGGGCGGACAATAACGCGTTGGCCTCTTTCCACATGCGTGCGTACTCTCGCATTCCCTAAGCCAGGGTGAGATATCGATGGTTGCTGTTGTCGTTGCCTCGCTTGGATGAAATGTCTCGTTATCAGTAGAGCTGATTCCAGTGATGGAATTACTGACTGGTCGAACACAAAACTTGACATGATAACAAAACTCGACCTCACCAATAGTGAGCGTACACTCCCAAAGAAGTTTGAAGGACTCTCTAGATCCATCTTGAATCTTCCATACAATTGAAAACGTCGCAAAAAAGAACTCAAAATCATGTTGGAAATCTTTTGCGCATTGGAAACGAAAAGACTCATATGCCCGAACACAAAGACAACATCCTACGGAGTATACAGAGTACTGAAATGTTAGCATCGAGTTGTGGTGCGGAAGTTCTAGTGTGAAAAAGTCGGAAGTAAATTTCCTATACCCACATCCATACTGTGACTGAAGATGATAGAGTGCGTCAATGCACATGCTACACAGGCTCTGCTCTGCAATTGTAGGAGTACGATCCATTTTGTAGAAATACATCGAGTTGTACAATGAATGAAAGAATATTTTGACTGTTAGTGAGAATTATTCTACCTTGGCTAATGCGGGGTTATATCACGTGATGCGCCAGGGTTACCATATCGCACGTTACACTCTTAACGTATGTGGCAAGCGAGCGCCGCAGGCAAGCGAGCGCCGCACCCCACCAAACCTGCGCACCTCTATAAGCCTGTAGTTCCACCACAATATAGTTGTTTTACTACATATTAACATAATAGATTAAGCAGTACCTAGAGTATCTTTCTTGCACGTACGCGAGTTATGGCCAGTCTCTCTGCACCTACTACAGCGCGCCAAAGCCTGGCGGCTAACACCTGATCGCTCTCCTCTCTGACGCTCTTCATGAGCAATCTGCTGATCAGCCTCGCGCTGAGCGAGTAGATCCTCTCCAGCTCCCTTTGTAAGTACTCCTCGCTTCTTGTATCCGCTTTTTTCTTACGCTGCCTACGCTTTGTTGCTG